TTAGGGTTGTAAATTGGTAACAATTAGGATTGTTGTACAAATCACCTGTAAGGGTTTTGGTGTCAGTGGTCCGGACTGTGGAATACCCTTTTGAGTGACTCTAATGGGGTTTCGTTCCCTAGGACCTGTGGCATCACTTGAAGGGATGCCATGGCGGACATATCGGACAATTGCTCATTATCCCTGAGAAATTCGGAAGAATTTTTCTCAGTTCTAGCCCTTGGGGTGGCCAAAGATATAAGCGGCTGCATTAATGTCGGCTGAGCAGGCTGAGGCGGATCAGAAACAGCGGATTTCTTACGCTTAGGGACTCATTTAGCAGCTGAAGGCCACTAAACTGAGTGTCCAGCGCACAGAGCTGTTCATTGATTTTACGAAAACCAGTGATCAGCTCTTTAAATCCATTTTGGTCTGTCTCATGAACGACCTCATTTCGCCTTGCACAGCACGACAATTCTCACAACAATAATGTATCCCAGACCTACGGGAAATGGCATCCGAAACTGATGCAGTGAAACCGGCACACTTGGCGTGCACGACGCTTTCACATAACCAGCAATGGATGCTAGGCTGGGATGTGGAAATTGTCTTGTTACAAGACTTAATGGCACAGACCAGTTTAAATTCCATTTTATTCATTTATTTATTTTTTTTTTATTTAATAAAACAAAAATTAATATTTAAAAAGTTAAAAAACACAATACCTTGAACCACTGTGCCAAACAAGAAGCCGAAGGGGAGCTTTGAAGAGTGCAAAAGAGAAGTGCAGAAATATAGATAAGCCGGGGAAGAAGCAGAGCTGAGCTATGCTTGGAATAGAATTTAGGCAAATTATTAATTCGACTCCAAATATACCACAGCACTCATGAAGCGACACGGTTTAGGCTTTAAGATTGTTAAGATTCACAAGATTTAATTCACAAGTATGTAAACACCGGTTTACCAATATTTTTAATAAAACGCAGTGCGCACAAAAAAAACACGACCGTTCGCTTGAAAGAAAGAGAGGGAAGTCTGTTCGTCACTGTAACATCGCCAATGTCGTCCACCAGCATTTTGTCCAGACCTACCGGTCCCAGGGAACTCTTTACGATGTTGGATATGGACAAGGCAGCCATAACTACAGGAAGAGGGGAAAATATCCTTTAGTCATAACCTCACTTTGTCATGTTTTGATGAAATTGAGGTTTTCTTCAGTTTGAAGGTCAGGAATATCTTAAGGAAAAACTACAATCCCGTCGAAAAAGCCCATGTCTCTTTTGTTCCCGAACATTCTCCCCGGCGTGTGACCATTAGATCAGCAAGAAACGTGCTCCGCCGGTCGACGCTGTGCAGCTGTTGCCAAATGCATTAGTTTCTTACCGTTCTGAGTGCGCACAGAGGCGCCCGATTGACGGGTGCCGGCAATGGACAAAGGAGTGGCCAGGGTCGACATTTTCTTCTGTGTTTTGGCGACTTTTAATAAAAAACGAGATAAATCAAATACTGGAAACCGCACGAGAACCGCCTGACTCACTTTTCGATTGATTTCAGAGTGACCATGACGCACTTTTGTTTATTCGCTTCATGTAAAATAATCGTGTAAAAAGTTCAAGAAATTTTTACATATTTAAAGGTCATTTCATTTATTATTTCAATATCCAAAAAATTTAAAAAAAAATATTAAAAAATTCAAATTCAAAAAATAAATTTGAAAAAAAATAATACCTAAAATTCAATTTTAGGCAGGTTTATGATAGTTTTTTGATAACTTAAGGTTTTTGATGATTTGGTAAATAGTTTTCGCTTGCTTATCTCTCTTTGAGAATAGTAAATTTTATGATATTTTTTTTTGAATAAGTCATTGCTCCTGGAGCACGAAAATTGTTTAAAACGTTACCTCCAGATTTAAGCGAAAAACTTTTTAAACAAACTTTAATGCCGAAAAATCCTTGAGAGTTTATCGAAACATAAGGATAATAAAGAATAAAGATTAAATCAAGTAATCTGCGAAATCTAAAAAATTTTTCAATCTAGTAGTCCATTTCATCCAACTGATTTTGGGTAGTTTAGAGAGCCTCATAAAATATTCAGTCTGTTGTGAGATTTCATAGTCAACACGACAGTTTTACACTTTTTGAGGTCACAACGAAAAAGTATACCGAATTTTATTTTATTAACGATCTAAATTTTTTGAAGTAAGTTTTCAAACGGCATAAAAAAATTTCTGAAATGTGAATATTTTTGTTTTTTTTTTTACCTAGATAAGCAATGGCTTCTCGGTGTGGACCTCCCCCAAAAAAACCAATGGGTTCCTTTTTGATCTAGATGAGTACTTGCGGGCGAGCAAGGATAAAAAAAGAAATTCCCAAACTATAAGGCGACTGAGGTAGCATCCCTAGGTGGCAAAATATGGCGTCAGATGTCCGATGAGAAAAAGTCTTTGTGGAAGAAGAAGGCGGCTAAGGCGAGGAGCGAATACAACCGTCGTCTTTAAGAATATCAGGACGACATAGCAAATGTGAATACCAACGGCACTGATGAAAAGCGTGTAATTGATCAACCAATGCCGAACTTTTCCAAGAAAAGGACTTGTGTATCGGAGCCGGCGATTGCTAATCCATCTGCGGCTATCATTAAGTGTGACTTTTGCAACAAGGATGGAACCACTCCCACCGAAAGTCATTCAAATTGTTCATGTAATTTTTAAACATTACTCCCGTTTAATTGTTAATTTATTTCAAAATCTAACGTAACAAATCGGCAAATGCCCAAAGATATATCAAGAGACATATGCTCAATCAGTAGCTGTAATCTCCATTACAAACAAATGTAGCTTAATTTTAATTGTTGGCAATATATTACAACTGTTCACAATGTGCTTATGCCGACATTTTAAAACAAAGTTTGTTTTTCTTAAATGTGTTTAGTTATCTGGCAACGCTGAGTTAACCGTGTTTCCCAACAAGTGCGAAAAGAAAGAAAGCTTTGCTATTTGGCTTTTACTTTTTATTTTGCCCTCAGTCCCTTTTTAAAAGCCAAATTGGCTTTTTGTGCTGTTTGCCGGCACATAGTGCAATGTTTTTCTCAGCCTGGTTTTTTTGTTCTGTGCAATTAAAGCTGCCAGCTCCTGTTTTCTCCGTCCTTTCCTCCCTTAGAAGCTTTTTGGGCCTCTTCCGTCCTTTCTCTGCCCGTAGAGACAAAATGTCCCCCTGAGCACATGGACTTGCAGTGGAAAAAATTATCAAATTTAAATTCGTAGATACATTTTTATATGTCAAAAAACTTTTACCAAACAAAATGGCTTTTTTTTTACAATTATTTATGTAGCTTATGTAGTATATTTTTCTTAACTTTTTTCTGATAATTGCTGATAATGCTGATAATTGCAGTGGAAACAGTGGCAGTAGCAGGACCGGCAACAGACGCCAACTGCCTCCTGCAATAAAAGTCACAATGGCGACAGCTCACGACACATTGCTTCACCTCATCCCCTTCATCAGGTCCTTTCTCCAAAGTTTGCCGGGTGTGTGTGTATGAGTGTGATTGACGGCCGGCGGGCTTTCTCATGTGTGTCTGCCGTGGCTGTAGTTATTGTAGAATTCAATTTGCTGTAAATGTATTGCTGGCTTGGCTCGTGGTCGCTTCTGTTGCCTTTGGTTACAGCTCATTAGCAACAGCGGCAGCAGCAGGACACATCCAGTGGCGCAGCCAAGGCAAACATTGAGAAAGGCTTTTGGTTAACATAAATTCAACAGCCGCGATGCCACTAGTACAGTAAAAACAATTGGATTTTAATAAAAACAACAGTCCATAAACTATTTGAAAATGTGATAAAAATTCATTTTAATGCTTTTTCGTACCATATAATTTTTACAAACTGAATTTTGTACAGTATTTTTGTACAGTAACTTTGTATTAATAAAATATCCCTATAAAATATTTACGAGCAGGCATTAAATATACAACAAAAATAATATCAATAGCATCAATTATGTTTTATTTTTTTAACCTGTATAGCAAAGCCGCATTGTAAAAAAATTTAACAAAATGTCCGACACTGGACGCCAATGCCCATTGATTTATAGTCGCAATGGTTAAGTCGATTATGGGAATGGGTCTGGGAATGGGTAACACAGGGAAAACAATAACCAACTGTTTGATGAGGGCCATCACAATGGGATTCACCTGTACGAGGTTGTGGGTGCGTGTGTGGGTAAGCTCAAGCTCAGCGGCTTTAATTGCCAGCTGGTTTGGGCCCAGTTTGTCTCGCCTGCGAGCATGTGTGTGTGGATGTGGTTGAGGATGTGATGTGCCTGTGGTTGGGATTTTTGCTTGTTCTACATGCATGTTGTACAAACAATTTAGGGTTGTAAATTGGTAACAATTAGGATTGTTGTACAAATCACCTGTAAGGGTTTTGGTGTCGCAGGTACAAGAACTGCAGCATCAGTCGGTGCCGGTGGTCCGGACTGTGGAATACCCTTTTGAGTGACTCTAATGGGGGTTTCGTTCCCTAGGACCTGTGGCAACACTTGAAGGGATGCCATGGCGGACATATCGGACAATTGCTCATTATCCCTGAGAAATTCAGACGAATTTTTCTCAGTTCTAGCCCTTGGGGTGGCCAGAGATATAAGCGGCTGCATTAATGTCGGCTGAGCAGGCTGAGGCGGATCAGAAACAGCGGATTTCTTACGCTTAGGGGACTCATTTAGCAGCTGAAGGCCACTAAACTGAGTGTCCAGCGCACAGAGCTGTTCATTGATTTTACGAAAACCAGTGATCAGCTCTTTAAATCCATTTTTGGTCTGTCTCATGAACGACCTCATTTCGCCTTGCACAGCACGACAATTCTCACAACAATAATGTATCCCAGACCTACGGGAAATGGCATCCGAAACTGATGCAGTGAAACCGGCACACTTGGCGTGCACGACGTTTTCACATAACCAGCAATGGATGCTAGGCTGGGATGTGGAAATTGTCTTGTTACAAGACTTAATGGCACAGACCAGTTTAAATTCCATTTTATTTATTTATTTATTTTTTTTTATTTAATAAAACAAAAATTAATATTTAAAAAGTTAAAAAACACAATACCTTGAACCACTGTGCCAAACAAGAAGCCGAAGCGGGAGCTTTGAAAGAGTGCAAAAGAGAAGTGCAGAAATATAGATAAGCCGGGGAAGAAGCAGAGCTGAGCTATGCTTGGAATAGAATTTAGGCAAATTATTAATTCGACTCCAAATATACCACAGCACTCGCGAAGCGATACGGTTTAGGCTTTAAGATTGTTAAGATTCACAAGATTTAATTCACAAGTATGTAAACACCGGTTTACCAATATTTTTAATAAAACGCAGTGCGCACAAAAAAAACACGACCGTTCGCTTGAAAGAAAGAGAGGGAAGTCTGTTCGTCACTGTAACATCGCCAATGTCGTCCACCAGCATTTTGTCCAGACCTACCGGTCCCAGGGAACTCTTTACGATGTTGGATATGGACAAGGCAGCCATAACTACAGGAAGAGGGGAAAATATCCTTTAGTCATAACCTCACTTTGTCATGTTTTGATGAAATTGAGGTTTTCTTCAGTTTGAAGGTCAGGAATATCTTAAGGAAAAACTACAATCCCGTCGAAAAAGCCCATGTCTCTTTTGTTCCCGAACATTCTCCCCGGCGTGTGACCATTAGATCAGCAAGAAACGTGCTCCGCCGGTCGACGCTGTGCAGCTGTTGCCAAATGCATCAGTTTCTTACCGTTCTGAGTGCGCACAGAGGCGCCCGATTGACGGGTGCCGGCAATGGACAAAGGAGTGGCCAGGGTCGACATTTTCTTCTGTGTTTTGGCGAAAAAACGAGATAAATCAAATACTGGAAACCGCACGAGAACCGCCTGACTCACTTTTCGATTGATTTCAGAGTGACCATGACGCACTTTTGTCAATTCGCTTCATGTAAAATAATCGTGTAAAAAGTTCAAGAAATTTTTACATATTTAAAGGTCATTTCATTTATTATTTCAATATTCAAAAAATTTAAAAAAAAATATTTAAAAATTCAAATTCAAAAAATAAATTTGAAAAAAAATAATACCTAAAATTCAATTTTAGGCAGGTTTTTGATAGTTTTTTGATAACTTAAGGTTTTTGATGATTTGGTAAATAGTTTTCGCTTGCTTATCTCTCTTTGAGAATAGTAAATTTTATGATATTTTTTTTTTGAATAAGTTATTGCTCCTGGAGCACGAAAATTGTTTAAAACGTTACCTCCAGATTTAAGCGAAAAACTTTTTTAAACAAACTTTAATGCCGAAAAATCCTTGAGAGTTTATCGAAACATAAGGATAATAAAGAATAAAGATTAAATCAAGTAATCTGCGAAATCTAAAAAATTTTTCAATCTAGTAGTCCATTTCATCCAACTGATTTTGGGTAGTTTAGAGAGCCTCATAAAATATTCAGTCTGTTGTGAGATTTCATAGAGTCAACACGACAGTTTTACACTTTTTGAGGTCACAACGAAAAAGTATACCGAATTTTATTTTATTAACGATCTAAATTTTTTGAAGTAAGTTTTCAAACGGCATAAAAAAAATTTCTGAAATGTGATTATTTTTTTTTTTTTTTACCTAGATAAGCAATGGCTTCTCGGTGTGGACCTCCCCCAAAAAAACCAATGGGTTCCTTTTTGATCTGGATGAGTACTTGCGGGCGAGCAAGGATAAAAAAAAATTCCCAAACTATAAGGCGACTGAGGTAGCATCCCTAGGTGGCAAAATATGGCGTCAGATGTCCGATGAGAAAAAGTCTTTGTGGAAGAAGAAGGCGGCTAAGGCGAGGAGCGAATACAACCGTCGTCTTAAAGAATATCAGGACGACATAGCAAATGTGAATACCAACGGCACTGATGAAAAGCGTGTAACTGATCAACCAATGCCGAACTTTTCCAAGAAAAGGACTTGTGTATCGGAGCCGGCGATTGCTAATCCATCTGCGGCTATCATTAAGTGTGACTTTTGCAACAAGGATGGAACCACTCCCACCGAAAGTCATTCAAATTGTTCATGTAATTTTTAAACATTACTCCCGTTTAATTGTTAATTAATTTCAAAATCTAACGTAACAAATCGGCAAATGCCCAAAGATATATCAAGAGACATATGCTCAATCAGTAGCTGTAATCTCCATTACAAACAAATGTAGCTTAATTTTAATTGTTGGCAATATATTACAACTGTTCACAATGTGCTTATGCCGACATTTTAAAACAAAGTTTGTTTTTCTTAAATGTGTTTAGTTATCTGGCAACGCTGAGTTAACCGTGTTTCCCAACAAGTGCGAAAAGAAAGAAAGCTTTGCTATTTGGCTTTTACTTTTATGCCCTCAGTCCCTTTTGCTGCCCTCAGTCCTCAGACCCTGTGTTAGCCAAAAGCCAAATTGGCTTTTTGTGCTGTTTGCCGGCACATAGTGCAATGTTTTTTCTCAGCCTGGTTTTTTGTTCTGTGCAATTAAAGCTGCCAGCTCCTGTTTCTCCGTCCTTTCTCTGCCCGTAGAACCTTTGTGGGCCCGAGACAAATTGTCTTGTTGAGCACATGGACTTGCAGTGGAAAAAATTATCAAATTTAAATGCGTAGATAAATTTTCATATGTCAAAAAACTATAACGTACCAAAATGGCCTACTATTTTACAATTATTTATGTAGCTTATGTAGTATATTTTTCTTAACTTTTTTTCCTTGGTAATCAAATTTTTTTAAAGTGTTTATACCCTTGCAGAGGGTATTATAATTTTGTCCAAAAGTGTGCAACGCAGTGAAGGAGACATCTCCGACCCTATAAAGTATATATATTCTTGATCAGGATTACCTCCTGAGTTGATATGAGCATGTCCGTCTGTCCG